TCTGAACCCTTAAACACTAAGTCCTAGAGCTCCTCTTATTTATGGTGATTTGTTTTTGTCCATGTGTCCTATCTCTAAAACATAAGCAGTTATCTTTTCTTAGTTCTGACAAGTTGTTGCATATACAGAGCAAAGAATTAAGACTGTCTTGCTTAACATTTCCACATCTTTGTATTATTTGTTGTGAAACTTATACCAGTTCTTTTAATCTTTTTCTCCATATGTATGTTTCTCAGTGAAAAACTGGAAGAACATATTTTTAGAAAACTTTAGTGAAATAAACTTTGACGGTATAGTGATTTTTTTGGTCAACATAAGGAAGGAAAGGTGCTAATATTGATGAGGCTTGAGTAAATCTAATAACTTTCATGAAAACCACATCAGTTTTTTAGTTGAGAAAGTATATCCTGGCTGATTTTTTATATCTTACTAAATAACTTTATTTTCATTTCAGTAGAGAATTTTGAATTTAATTCTAACACTAACATGTAAAAAAAGCATGTAATTTAAAAACAGATTAAGTTATTTTTATTTTTGGGAAATGGAGAGGAGGGAGGAGACTCATACAGGGGCTTCACGGAGTCTTGTAAATGAATGTGAAAATTATTAGCCTAGTAACTTAAAAAAAAAGAAAAAGGCAAACAAGCTGATTTTCTGTGAAGATTCTCTGACTCCCTCTCTTCCCTTGCCTGAATTTGATAGAAGACAATGGAAGTTCTCTTACTGTCAGGATGAATAGTCACTGTAAGAAAATATTTGCAAACCGGTATTTAAAAGTTCATCAACATGCAATCTGTTATGCTAAAAGAGACTTGTAAACTGTGGAAATATAAGTTCTGTAATTTCAACATACATCTCTTAAAAAAAAAAATTGATAAATGATCAGATTTATGTAAGTAGCATCATTAAATTTTAATTTAGATAAAATTGAACTTTTTTAACTTACAGGGTTGTTACAAAAATTCTTAATGAATTTTTGAAAGTGAATGCAGCTATGTTGTGGGCATTTCATTTGCTTTTTAGGTTATGAGTGTGGGTTTTTTTTAAATTTAAAAAAAAAAAGACCTAGAAAGATCCTACAATAGTACTAAAGTAGACAAAGTATTCTAACTAACAATTTAATTGTAGAGAAGGAGTACATTAACATATAAATCTGGCACAATGTAGGTCAAATGATAGCTTCTGAAATGTACTTTCATATGTTTGAGGCTTGAGATAACCATGTGTATCATGTATCAGTTTAGATGTTTGCCTAAACTGTAGCAATTTGAAGCGGTTCAGAGTACTACCATAATCTCAAAACCTTAGTTGAATTATAGCTGTGTCAGTTAAATTCCCCTGTATGATAAATTCTGCTCAGGGTCTTATCTGCATTATGGCAAAATACATAAAATAATCAAATTGCTAAGATTTTGAGCCTAATTTGCTTACACCAGAGAGAAATTTGCATTGTGAAATATAATACTTATTAATTCATTAGGTATCTGAATTTTGTACAGAGTTCATTTTTGTTTTCCTCAAAATATGCTAGAGATAATTGGAATGATTTCCAAATAAACTTTAAGAGGCTTATGAAATTTAGAATAGTTTCTGGTGTCTGCCTATACACGAACTCAAAACAGGAATTTAAAAAAGGGAGGGAGGCATTTATAGCTTTTGTTCTTAGCGACTTCTCCTGGACAAAATCATCACCACCCCCAGTTTGATTTGTTTCATTTAATTCTTGCCACATATGCCTCTTAGGCCCTTATATGTTTTATATTGAAGTAATCAGTGTTGAGGTTTTTCCTGCTCATTTAGATTATTTAAGCTTTCTGATCTGTGCTTAGTACAGAACTGTTTATTAGACCCATGCTATCCAATAACTAAAGCATATGAAATTTACTACATTTTGTATTGATTTAATATTAATGTTAATCTAAAATCTTTGGGTGCAGTGTGTCACATCTGTTTTGTATTCCTCTGTTTAAAAGAAGTGGCAGTATGGTATTTGGCGGAATATTTATTATCTGAGTGTTTTTCTTTGCAACAGTTTCTCTTAGTCTGTTGGGAATTACAACCTCCAAGAGACAGTGAATCACCTAGCAGATTCTCAGGTACCCAACTGGTAAAGGCCACTGTTAATTAGAATTTCTATTTACCATTTAAGTTTCCTTTGCTTAAGTAGTTATAACTTTGGAGGATTTTTGGAAATGATAAAAAGATAAATTTGTGGTGAGATAAAAGAAAAAAAGTTCTTTTCTCTTCATACTAAGTCTAGTCTATACTTCATGGGTACTTTGGTTTTTCAGAGAAGGCTTTGTTAAATTGACTGTGGACCTGCATTTGAAACTGAAGTTTTCTTTTCTGGTGATTGAATATTCCTATCCTATGGTGGGGAGCTCTGGTAGCATAGTGCCTAAGGGACTTGACTGCTAACCAAAAGTCTGGCGGTTCAAACCCACCAGCCACTCCTCAGAAGGAAGATGGGGCAATCTACTTCTATAGTGATACTGCCTCGGAAACCCAAGGAGGGGTCGCTGTGAGTCCAGGTCCGACTCGATGGCACATAACAACAACAATATCCTATGGTGAGATTTCTTAACCTTTTTTTGGATCATTAATTTCTTTAAGTAATCAATGAAAATTATAACCCCTGGTCCTAGAAAATAATGCATAAGCACAGACATTTTTGCATCCATTTTAAAGGGTTTATAATCCTACCTTTTCCTATCCAAATGTTCAAGGGGGCCTTGGGTTAGGAAGCGCTCCTATAATGGAATTTAAAAAATCACTTCTAGTAGGTTAACTTTATGGAAGCTCTCTAGTGCCTAAGGCATTTGACTGCTAACTAGAAGGCTGGTGTTTCAAACCCACCAGCCACTCTTCAGAAGGAAGGTTGGGCAATCTACTTCCATAGTGATACTGCCTCGGAAACCCAAAGGGGGTCGCTGTGAGTTGGATCCAACTCAATGGCATTATGTTAATCTGCCACACTAAGAGTTTTCTTCACTTCTAACTTTATTTGACATTACATTTTCTTCTTGATCATTATGTAGAAGAAGATGATCATAATCTGATTCATACTTTGGAGAAAAGTATAATTTTTCACTTAAAAGTCAGTCTCTGAAATTACAGAACATATGTAGCCTTCTGATGCTTTAGATTCTACCTTGCATAGTTAAAAAACAAACCAAACCAAACACACTTCCGTAGAGTCGACTCAACTCATAGTGACCCCTCCTTAGGTTTCCAAGGTGGTATCACTATGGAAGTAAATTGCCCAACCTTCCTTCCGAGGAGTGGCTGGTGGGTTTGAACCGCCAGTCTTCTGGTCAGTAGTCAAACCTTAGGCATTAGGCCACCAGAGCTCCCCTTGCATAGCTAAGAAAACAAAATTCATTTTACCCTTTGATCTAAAAGTGAAGACTATGGAAGAGAGAAATAAATTCTTATTGATTTGTTGTTCTATGAAGTCCTTTCTGAAAAAGATGTTGTATTTGTTGTTTGGCACACAAATACGGGTTCTCATTTTAATGAGAGCGATGTTACAGCTATTCAGGCGTTGCTTCTGTTTGTGCGAGTTAGGAGCTCAGGCTTTGACGGTTAGCAGCAGGCTGGGGTTCATATCCAGCTTAGCTGCTCAGCAGCTGTATGACCTTGGCTATGTTACTTATCTGCAAAGTAAGACCTACCCCATAACAGGATTAAAAGAGATAATATTTGTAAAGTGCTTGATTTTGTGTTTTGTGTCCAATATGCACTCAGTAAACATTATCTCTTACTTGTTCATCATGATGGTATTGGTGACAAACAGGACAAGCAGCCTCAATTTTCAGTTGCAAAAATTTCTATGATGAAATTTAGGATAGTGGGTCTTGGTTGCAAAAAGTATAAATCTTCACTTTCTCCAGAATAATCTTCTTAAGCTTTGGTGGGTTGTGGTTGTTGTCTGTCAAAACTCAATTAAGAGTTCTTCACAGGCAGAGGATAGCAAACTAACTCTTAATCTTCCACATCTTACTTTTGAGTGTTACAATGGAGCAATAAGTTAAAAGTTACTCACTTGTGTCATATAAGTGAAGTAAATATTGAGGATCAGAGAAAAGGAGAGATTGATAAGAGTGGATTAAAAGTGTAATACTTAAGTGTTACTGCTTTTGAATCTTGACACCTAGATGGTCACATGGTAGAGAGCCATGAGTAGAGTATTTAGAGTAGATGATGTCTCTTTGCATATTATGTCATAAAGTATTATAATTTTAAGATGTTTGATATACTGTACAAATGTCAAGCACTTTACAAATGTCAGCTGTAAAAAGGGTTCCCAGTGTGGTTTGTAAAGAATTTGGAGCCAAATAAGAAAGGAACAGGATGATTTGCATGATGTTTTGATTGAATAAATGAAATGGCTTAATACCTGCCTGAAGTGAAAGGCTGCAAGTTCACAAAAAGGGTGATTTTAGATCTTCCTGGAAAGAAGTAAGATGACATCCTGTCTGATCTTTTACCTTTGCCAGTTGTGATTGTTGATTATAATCAGGTAACAATAATGGCAATATTTATGGCAGGTTTTTTTTGTGTACATTTGTGTCAAAATGTGTACATTTCGACATATACACACATTTATAATATGTCTATGTGCTTTCTGAGATTCCTTAGAATAATTAACTCAGATGAAGTCGTAAATGTTTAGCAGTAGTAGATTATAAACTTGGAGGAAGCTAAGTATGTTCTGATAATTTTCAAGGTGGTATCATGGGAGAATATCCATTGTGTTCACCCATAAACTATCTCTTATTCCCAGTGACAGAAAAAATGACCGAATGAATTCGTTATAGCTTTGAGTCACTATATTTCCTATGTGAAGTAAACAAACAATGCTTAACTAATGCTATAAATATCATTGAGCATTTTTGGTTCTCCTGTTTTTCTCTTATAATACCTAGTTTCATTCACTTATTTTCTTTAACCATGTGGAAAGTTTGGAAAATGATATTCCACCTTTTCTTTCTCCTCAGCATTGTCAGTGAAGCAGGAGCATCGATCTATAGTGTCAGCCCTGAAGCTAACAAAGAGATGCCAGGGTTGGATCCTAATTTGAGAAGTGCAGGTAAGAAACTGGGCCATCAAAAAAGGATGTGATTTTGATATTTCAGACTTACTTGTGTAGTAAGCTTAAATATTTTAAAGATACAAGACAATATAAAGATATGTCACATGTAAAAGAATTAGTATAAAGGAAGAAAGTTGATTGGAATAATAATTGGAATCATGGAAGGGAAGAGGAAGAGTACTATACTGTTTTTAAAGAATACTGTAGTATTCCAGAGTAAGGGAAAAATTTAGTACAGTGAAGTGCTTCGTAAAATTAAATGCCAGAGAATTCAATAATAAAATACTCTAAGATGCATTGTTATTACAAAATATTATTCCTTATAGCTTTTTTTTTGGGCAAAATGTAGTATATTTTATTAACATAAAATATTTGTAGTGCAAACGTATAGACCTTCAGAGGCTTTCAGTTTATTGCTAAATATTTGTCAAATTGTCCTTTTTCTTGTCTTGCTAATGGATGGATTGTCATTTCATAGCATAATGCTGTTTTATAGACTATTCAGTTGTGTCTAATTGCTTTGGTTTCTGTGATGTTTGGAGTAGTTAAAATCATGTGTTGAAGAAATTTTGATACTTTGATAAACCTGGTGAGAGTAATTGATGTCATAAGCAAATTATTAGATCAGGTGAGAGCATTTTTTATATAAGAGGTGAATATTTAGGTTATTTTGTTAGTAATGGACCTTTTATTTATTTATTTTTCTTAAATGTCCTCATCAGATTTCATTGGCTCTTGAAATAGATACCAAAAATGTCTTTCTTCTGAAAGAACTTAAAATTTCCCTTCAGTTATTCATTCTATCCTGTGAATCTTTTCCCTATTACACTAGCTGAACATGACCCCACCTTCCTTACTATGTCTTTTTTTGATACTTGTCTTGTAACAATAATAGTAATAGTAATTGTAGTCAGAGAAGGTATAGTGGTTACTGCTAAGACTGGTATTTTTAAATGTTTAAGATATGTCAAGTATTACCTGGATTATGTTGTTGAAACAACTGTACTATGAGACATTTAGTGTTACTCCCACTATACAGATGAAGGAACTGAGTGGTTTAAAGAGGCCACGTGGCCAGTAAGTATGTACATAATTTTTTTGTACTTCTGTAATAAGGGGATGCTTTTCTTTATAAAAAATAAAATTCAGAACCTCCCAAGTTAGTACTGAAAGAGAATCTTCCAATGGTTCATAGGAAAAATAGTTGGACCATATTGTTTATGAGGATAGTCCTTTGCACATCCTACTGCTTGGAGCCTGCTGTTTCTGCTTTACCACAGGCCCAAGTGTGGATATATAACTGTCACAATATTATATCAGAGAGAAGATTGCAACTTTCCAACAAGACTACAAAAGTAGAAGATAATAAAAAGAAGAATCATTATGTGATTCTAATTACTGTGATTTCAAAGTCTGGCTTTATCTTCCATTTGTGATTCGCGGCAGGTATGCCTTCCTTCTGTGTCCCAGTTTGTGCCGTGTGCCAGTGACCATGTTTGATCCATATAAACACAAAACATCTGCCTAGAAACGTGGAGTCTTCCAAGACTGGTCCTGGCGACACATAGTGAAAGAAGCTCAGCATCTTCATTCATGGTCGTGTAGGATCCACCTTTCATTTCCTATTCTTGTCTGTCAGTCTTTCTCTTTCCTAGTGATTGATGCCATGAAAGATTTTATATTTCATTTGAGACCTGACCTACCTGTGGGTTTGAGTTTTACCTTGCAACTTTCCAGAATATAAGAGAACCTTGACTTGCATACACATGTTAAACACATGTAAGAAAACTGCTCTTGTATTACTACGTCTTCCTGGCCAGTTTGTCAGCTTAATGAAAACAGAGGTCATCCTTATATATGTTATATCTCCACAGCACCTTTTATATGGAATGCATTTAAATTGAATGGATAGAATGGTAGATGAATGATATCAAAATATTTATTCTGCGTTTCTTGTTAAAAACAAAAGATTGAATATGCCCACTATCCCTTGTACTTCTTTCTGAAATCAGATTTAAATGATAGTGATATGATATAAGGAGTCCTTGGGTGATAGCACTCTTGGCTGCTAACCAAAAGGTTAGAGGTTTGAGTCTACCCAGAGCCACCTTGGAAGAAAGGACTGGCAGTCTACTTCTGAAAATTATCCATTGAAACTCATGGAGCACGGTTCTACTCTGACACACATGGGGCTGCTGTGAGTTGGAATCAATTCAATGGCAACTGGTATAATGTGATAAAAGGAAGACATTAGCCCACTTAGACAAAGAATGTGAGAGGAGGTAACAGTAGTAACAGTTTTGAAGCTGAGAAGCAGAAGGATAAGAACTAAGTGACCTACCCAACTTCAGAAAGTTTAATCCTAAGCCAGCATTGTAGAAAACAGAACTAACTTGGTGTAGATCATGGAGCACCCTCCCCCCGCCCCCCCCATAGGTTCGGGAAATGGCACCAGGCAACTTTGGATGTATATTGGGAGGACTGAGTATGGGTCTAAAATAAGACAATTGATTGAAAGTCTGTTTAAAAAACAACTAGACCAAGTTAAGCATTGCATTACCAGATGACTGATCAATTCTAGGTATATTCCAGAAATAATTGAGAACAGATACTCAAATATTTATGTATAGATCAAAGGAGCACCTTTTAAAATAGCTAAAAGGTAGAAACAACCCAATGACCATAAAAGGATGAATGAATAAACAGTGTGGTATACCTGTACAATGGAATATTACTCAGCTATAGAAAGGAATATGGGAGCTCTGGTAGCATAGTGGCTAAGACACTTGCCTGCTAACCAGATGGCTGGCGGTTCAAACCCACCAGCCACTCCTCGGAAGGAAGGTTGGGCAATCCTACTTCCGTAGTGATACTGCCTCGGAAACCCAAGGAGGGGTCGCTATGAGTCGGGGCCGACTCGACGGCACATAACAACAACAACAACATAGAAAGGAATATAGTACTTTCTATAATGTGTATGAACCTTGAAAACATCATGCTAAGTGAAAGAAGCTTTATTGTGTAATGTGCCATCAAGTCGGACCCAACTGATAGCAACCCCTCCTTGGGTTTCCGAGGCAGTATCACTGCAGAAATAGATTGCCCCATCTTCCCAGGAGTGGCTGGTGGGTTTGAACCGCCAGCCTTCTGGTTAGCAGTCAAGTCCCTTAGGCACAACGCTACCAAAGCTCAGGCTCCTTTCACTCTGTATGCTGCACAAATAATCCGAGAAGCTGAACTATATGAAGAACGTGGCATCAGGATTGGCAGATTGATTACATTGGACCACTTCCATCATGGAAAGGACAGAGTTTTGTTCTTACTGGAATACTTATTCTGGATATGGATTCACCTTCCCTGCATGCTATGCTTCTGCCAAAACTACCATTCATGAACTTACAGAATGCCTAATCCACTGTCACGGTATCCCACACAAAATTGCTTCAGATCAGGGGACTCACTTCACAGCAAATGAAGTATGGCAGTGGGCCTGTGCTCATGGAGTTCACGGATCTTACCATGTTCCCCATCATCCAGAAACAGCTCACTTGATAGAACGATGGAATGCCCTACTAAAAACATGATTACAGCACCAGCTAGGTGGCAATACCTTGAAGGGCTGAGGCAGTGTTCTCCAGGAGTCTGTATATGCTCTAAACCGGCATCCAATATATGGTACTGTTTCTCCAGTAGCCAGGATTCACGGGTCCAGGAACCAAGGGGTGGAAACGGGAGTGGTGCCACTCACTATTACCCCTAGTGACCCACTCAAAAATTTTTTGCTTCCTGTCCTTGCTACCCTATGCTCTTTGGGTCTGGAGATCTTAGTCCCAACGGGAGGGACACTCCCACCTGGAGACACAATACTGATTGCATTGAAGTGGAAATTAAGAATGCCACCTGGCCATTTTGGCTCCTTATGCCTCTGGACCAACAGACAAAGAAGGGAATTACTGTACTATCTGGTGTGATAGATCCTGATTACCAAGGGGAAATTGGAGTGACATTACACAATGGAGGTAAAGAAGAATATGTCTGGAATACAGGAGATTCTTTAGGACACTTCTTAGTACTACCATGCCCTATGATTAAAGGCAATGGAAAATTAACAGCAACCCAATTCTGATATGACTGCTAGTGGCCCAGACCCTTCAGGAATGAAGATTTGGGTCACCCCACCAGGCAAAGAAACATGACCAGCTGAGGTGCTTGTTGAAGGCAAGGGAAATACAGAATGGGTGGTGGAAGAAGATAGTTCTGAATATCAGCTTCAACCACGTGACCAGTTGCAGAAACAAGGAATGTGATTGTCATATTTTTTCATTGTATATGTGCATCAAATATTTTTGTTTCCTTCTGTTATGAACTGTGAAATGTAAATAAGGTTAACGTGTTTTGATTTACACGTGTTAGCATATCACGTTAGGCACAAATAATGACTTTATAATTGTCCTTATTAATAGATTATATATAGTTAAAAAGATGTGTACAGCTGCCAAGTTGACAAAGGGTGGACTGTGATAGCTGCAACTGTGTGTCAACTTGGCTGGACCACAATTCTGTGTGGTTTAAGCAGTTGAGATGTGGGTTGTTCCAATGATGGGATCAGATATATATGTTTTGAGCAGCCAATCCATTGAAAGGGAGTTTCCCTAGGGGTGTGGCTTGCTTCCAGTATATTTATGGACATCCTATGAAAAGAGACACTCTTCTGTGGATCGGGATTCTGCCTATAACTGCCTGTGAGTGAACAATACACCATTCGGCCTAGAGATCTTGGATTCGTCATTTGTTGGAGTCAACACCAGTATATTGCCTGACAACCTTGAGCTCCTCAGCCCCTGCAGCTGCAAGAGTCAGGAAAAGCATCCAGATTGACATTTGATCCAAGAACTTGGGATTTGCCAGCTTCTGTAAGTGTGTGAGCCATTTTCCTAAGATAAATTTCTCTTTCTCTCTCTCTCTCTCTATACGCTTTACTGGTTTTGCTTCTCTAG